AACACATCTACGCCTTTCCCGTCTACGCCGTTCCCACACCGATATTGATAGTAGTGCCTACGAGACAAGCGAGAGAGCGGGGGAGCAATCGAGATTTTTTTTTTGGGGGGGGGGGAAGGGGCGGGGTCTTGACTTAAGTACTTCGCAGCTCCATGTAAAACCATGTCAAAAAATTAGCTCTTTTCCGCGAAACTCCTACTGCTTCCAATCCCTCCTCCCCACCCCTCCCACATCCCCCCTCCCTCTCCACTCCCACTCCCCCCCTCCCTCCGCGCACACTTCCCCCTCCCTCCCCCCTTCCCGCCATCGCAGCCACCGCCGGCTTCTTCATAAAGTGAGGTGCCTCCGTCAGGCACTTTCACTTGTCGAGGTGATGTCTGTCTACCGGCTCATACTTACTGCTGCTCTCCGCTGCTCGGAAGCGACTAATTATTTTCCCACTACGACGACGTCACAGATTGAGGTGTAAACACCGTGATTGACTTTGTGCGTAACACGCCAGCGCCGTACGTGCCGCGCCGCCGTGCGCTCCACACCTTTTGGTTTCTTTCACCGCGTCGTCGTCAGAGGTGTGTGACGACTTGGGCGCGTCGTGGGTGTCAGTCAGTCTGGCGCCGCCGATCGGGTCGGGATCGAAGGCGACCCCCCCTACTCCCTTCCCAAAGGGGTTCCCGCGTACCGGTAGCCGTGCGCACGGACTCGCCCGACAGGGCCGTAGTGGTCTAACTGGTGGTTAATTCGTAATGCTCCCCAAAATGGTTTCAGTACGATCTGGAACCTGACAGCTGCTCTCTCTTTCTCCAGCTACTCCCCTCCCTCACTCCCCCGCTCCATCTTCCTCACTCTGACACACACACACACGCGCGCGCGCACGCACACAAACAACAACAGCGACGAGCTACCTATTGCGCCATCGTCGCCCTGGCTGACAAGTAACGCAAACCGGTGTGCATTGGGTACGACTGACACGACTACATGGTGGAAATGGTGCCAGACAGACGGACATTAAAGAGATAAAAAAGGCTCATTAAAACACTTTCAGTGAAACTCGGGACAAACCTCACAATCATTTTACCCAAGTCCGAAAACGTACAATTAAACCCGTAAGTTTGGGAAAGTTGAACGAAATTTTAAAAATAAATATAATACAAAATCATAATTGCCACTAAACACTAATGTAATGTATTTCTGAAAGTACAAATGGATAGTTGCAGAATCGTTAAATGCACAGAAACACAAGTAAGGAGTGTTACATCTGGAGCATTTTTTTTAAACGGCGTATTACGACCACGTCCAAATTGACTTTCACTTGTCAGAGCAGGTACACAGTTACAGAAGAAGCAAAATAATGAGATTTAAAAAACGATGCTGTTCCACACGCAAAGTCAACACAAAATTATGCAGTACATTTTGAAATTTGCACATGTCAAATTTTCTTGTCGGAATGTAAACAAAAGGTTATGCATAAATTAGGAGGGTTCTAAAAGGCGGCAGTCCATTCAAAGATTATCACAAACACATCATAGCCATGGTGGTCGGCTGCTTCACTTTCGTTCTCATTATGTTTATGCTAATTCACTTACCGGCGCTGAGCGCGACGCAGGCGAGCACGAAGACCGTCCTCCTGTACCGCGCCATGTCAGCAGACAGTCTCGCGCGAGGCCAGGCAGGTCTCCAGGCGCGAGGGGCGACTGGCGGTGCGGGG